AAAAGAATACTAATGAAGAACAGAGTCCAAGTACATTACTTTCCTTATCTTTCAGGATGAATATATAGAATCAAATCATCAAAAGGCAGCTACTTTTTAAAAAGTAGTAATTACTTTACTACCAAAAAAAAGGACAAAAAAATACATAAATATTTTCTAATGAAGGAGGGGAGGAAGAAAGAAAATTCAGACTTTTTAAGTAGAGATAGAATACCTATTGGAGCAATACATGGATCTGCTACAAACACTTAGAAGTGTTTTATAAAATATACCAATAAAAAAGAAATGCATAACTGAGCACTCAATAAGGAAAGGAAAAGCTCCAGATATCAGAAATGATGAAAAAACTGAAAAAAAAGAAAGGGCATCAACTGTGCAAAGTGACCAGCAGCTCACCTGGAAATGATGATCCTGGTAACCTGGAGGTTTGCTTTTAACATCTCTTCAGGGGATGAAAGAGGAGGACTGGATTCTCCAGTGAGAAAGAGTTAGAATTAAAATTCCTGCATAGAGCATTTTTTTCTGGTTAAAAACAAAATATGTGAACTAGGAAAACACAGGTCCATATACCTCACAATGACAACTGTTTGTCTCCATCTGAGCTCTGGGTGAAAAAGAATTTTATTTTATTCCAAACCTTTTGCTTCATTTGAGTTTGGGGCCTAATTTTATCCCACCCAAGTTTGCCCCAAAATTAACATAATGATTGGTCCCTGGCTAATGATGTTCTAAGGTATATGGTAGGAAAGTGCTAACCACTCTGGTTCCATAAAAAACTCAAAGAGAAGGAATCTCATTAAAAATAAGCTCAAAAGATAAAAATATTTTCTAATATTACCATTATAAAACACTTAAAGAATTCACCCATGAATATATCTCAGCACAGGTGGTGCCTGGGTGGCTCAGTCGGTTAAGCATTCAACTCTTGATTTTGGTTCAGGTCATGATCACAGGGGTTATGGGACCAAGCCTAGTGTTAGGTGTGCATTCAACAGGGAGTCTGCTTGAGATTCTCTCTGTCCCTCTCCCTCTACCCCTCTCCTCCCCTCTAAAATAAATAAATAAATCTTTAAAAAATATGTCTCAGCAGGTATCACTAATGGAAGGATCATTAGCCAGTAATCAGAAAACAATGCAGTTTGAAATCATTAAGAACATGGAAGGGTGAATCAACACAAAGGGAAAGAATGATAATAAAAGTTTTTCCTAAAGACTCACAGAACTGTGAGAAACAGATATATAGTCATTGATATCAAACTAGTCAATGGTGGCTCAAGATAAAATCAGTGACCTAAAAAACCAATCTGAGATAATTACTCATTGAAAGATAAGAGATGGAAAACATAAAAGCATGGCTAAAGACTTGTAAAAGAAAAGAAGATTCATCCTGCTATCTACTGTGCAGTAACAAAGCACCCCAACACCCACTGGTTTAAAACAATAACATTTTATTATACCTAAAGATTTTTTGGGTCAGGAATTCAGACACTCCTGAGCTGGGTGATATTGATACATCACACAGTGTCGAATGTGATCTGGAGGGTTCAATATGGTTTCACTCATGTATTGCCCTTTGATGGGATGGTTGAAAGGAACAGTTCGACTGTCAGGTGGAGTGCCCACACATGAGCTCTCCACCACAGTGATCTCAGGGAACTCAGACTTTGTACATAAAGGCTCAGGGTTCCCAGCAAAACTGTTCTGATGGGCCTAGACAGAAGCTGCACATTTTTTTTATGAGTTAGTGTCAGAAATTCCAGGACGTTACTTTTGCTCTATTCTATTGGTCAAACAAGTCCCCGAGTCTAGCATATATTCAAGAGGAGATGAATTAGACTCCATCCCTAAGAGAAATAACAAATAATGTGTGGCTATCTTAATCTACTACAATCCAATATTGGTGTAATAGAAATTCCAGAAAGAGAGAATAGAGAGAATGGAAAAGAGGTGATATTTGAAGAGCTAATGTCTGTAAACTTTTTGGAATTGATTAATGATTGAAACATCATTTGACAGTAATGACAAGTCCTGACCAGAATGAATAAAAATAAATGCAACTTTGGATACACTAATAAAACCAAGAAGCCCCAAAGACAAAGTCTTAGAAGCAAAGAGGAAAGGAATGGAACTTACAAAGAAATGATAATTAGATTACAACATATTTCCCATGACCAAAAATAAAGTCCTAAAGTTAATTAAATATTCTAAGAGCCAGAGAAAATAATTATCATTCTGAAATTTTATACCTAGCTAAACTATCACACAAACATGAGGGTAAACTAAAAAGTGTTTACATAGACTGAAAACATTTACCACCCACAGACCCTTTTTGAAAATAAAATCTATAAGTGGTACATTCCAGGAGAAAACAAACTGATCTCAAAAGAAAGGAGTGAGATGCAAGAAAAAAGGTGAAGAAGGAAAATAGCAAACTAGCATTGGCTAGATAACACAAAATAATGACCAGTCTATGAGGGAAATTGCAAAGCAAGATTGAACTAAAATCGAGCAATAACACGAAGGAAAACAATAACTTTCAGAGTGAAAGCACACAAAGACCCTTGTTCTATTTTAGGAAGTCAGTAGCAATAGTAATAGCCTTTATACATTTGTGAAGTCAAATATGAACTTTTTAAAATGTTAAGACATCCACTAAAATATGTGAGGTGATGAGTATGCCAACTAACTCAATTGTGGGAATCGTTTCACAATATGTTTATCAAATCATCACATTACACACTTCAATTATCTTATAATTTTCTTTGTCATTCATACTTTAATAAAGTCAGGGGGGAAAAGAGACCTCCACTATAAAGTGAAAACATGACAACTCTTTGCTCAGTCAGTTGAGTGGATGATTCTTGATTTTGGCTCAGGTCATGACCTCAGGGTCCTGGGATGGAGTGGCACCTTGGGCTCCACACTCAAAAGGGAGTCTGCTTGTGGACTCTCTTTCCCTCTGCCCTTTTCTCTGCTTGTACTGCGCTCTCTCTCTCTCTCTCTCTCTCTCAAATAAATTAATGGATAAATCTTTAAAAGAAGAAGAAGAAAAAATATTCATCTCAAGCTAACCTGAAACTCCTCTGAAAATTACTATATTCTATCCCACATAGCAAGTCGCAACAAACCCTGCAAAACATTATTATAGAGCTCATAGTCTCTGATCACAAAGCAGGAAATTAGGAACCAATAACAGATTAATAAAAACCATTCCCATACTTAAACACACTTTCGAATAATCCATAGGTCAAAGAGGCCATCTTAATTAAATTTAGAAAATATGTAAGACAAAACCAATAATGAAAAGACAGCATATCAAATTGTGCACTGTAGTAAAAGCAGGAAACTGTATAGCCTTAAATGTATATATTAAAAATGTAAAAATTGAAAATCAATGAGTTATGCATCCAACTCAAGATGCTGGGGAAACAGAGCCAAGTAAAGCACAAGACTCTGAAATATACCAAAAATGAGAAAAACAGGATGTCAGTTCAAGGAATCCATTATCCAAATAGCCCAGGTCTTCCTGTTCAATCTCCAAAAGCAAAGTTGACCTTGGGCTTTTGTGCAGGTAGTTTGTTTAAAAATAAAACCCTGGGAGCAAGAGTGTGAAACTGAAGAAACTAAGCAGAGGCGAGAAAGCCAGTGTAAATGTGTATCACTGAGCTGGACATTCCCATGGATGCTGAGTTTCATCACACCTGGGATCCTCTGACAAACCTCGCAGAATGTGCATCCGTCCCATCTGCCTGAAGGAAGATAGCATTTCTCCATCTCCACTATTGCACGGTACATTTTTCAGGTTGCAGAAGAATGAGTGGCAGGGGTCCTGCCGTGGTACCGTGAGTCCACATCAGACTTCAATTGAAAGAAGAGTGCTCCCTAATTAATGAATTCTCCCCTCTTCAGTTGTATATTCTACTTTGTCTGTTCTGGCACTTTCAAACATGCTGCTTGGCTTCTGCCAGCAGGTACTGCAGTATGGTTCATGTGTACTCTCTTTCCTCCTGGAATCTAGACTGTGTTTTCCTGCTTGTGCCATGCTGTGACTTGACCCTGGTGGTTAGTCTGGAGGCACTGAGGGAGGTAGAGATAGATCCTGAGAAAGAAAGACATGATAATAAGAAGTGTCTGTTAAGGGGAAAAATCTAGGCAAGGTGAAGCTTCTCGTCCTTATCAGGGTGGTGGGGCAGTGGAGGGGGAGTTGCTTCTGCCAGTTGGGAGAGGTTAGGAGAAGCAGGGGGTTCAAGATTCTCAGGTAATCTACCCAAATGCGTCCATGATGGGTCTCAAAGTCCTACCCCTTTCCTATCGTGATCTTGGTATTTGTTGTAGATTCAATCCTCTTTGTAGCTCTGCTACCCACAGAATTCAATCCTAGGCCCAAATGTTCTGCAGTCACCGGTGATAATACCTCCTTCAAATGCTGACACAGGGGTCTTCTAGCTTCCAAAGCCTGCATTGAGTTGATAATTAGCTGAACTAGAGCCTGTCATTTTTATGTATTTATTTATACCTGTCATTTTCTTAATTTAAAGCTTGTAAAACTTTATACAAAACCAGTCAATCTGATCCTTCCTATTATCATTGGCCCCTGCTATTCAAATGCCTTGCCTGTTTCCTAACTGAGCATCCATCCTGTCTTCATCTACACCTCACCCCAATTCACTTTGGTGAGAGTCTTGGTAATTATGATGTCAAAGGATCTCACCACTCCAACTACCACCAGCAATAGGGTCCTCATAGTGATCTTCCTGGCAAATAATTCAGTTCCAGAACTGTATCCTGAGGCTTTACCTTCTAGGGCTACTTATGGTACCAACTCTTGACCTGCCCACCACTCACCCATCCTCAAGCAAAGCTGAGGCAAAAGCTTGGAAGTAGAAAGCTTATTTGAGAAGTGATCCCTAGAAGTAGGACTATGGGAAAGAGAAATCTTTCCATTGGAATCAGGAGCTCAATCCCAGTAGGTGCCCCCTAAGGAACCCTATGGAATGTACCTCAGTATTTTTCATCCAACAGCCAGTAAGGGGGAGCATTTGTCCATCAGCTTGTATCCCCATATGTTAAGGGTTGTCTTCTGAGCTGCAAACTCCCTTATGCCTTCAGGTGGCAAATGAGTGAGGACCAGGTGGGTTCCTGCAGAAATAGGACCATCACATCATGGTATCAGAAAAGACCCAGGAAGAAAGCAGGAGATATTCATAGCAACGAAGTGTACACCTGCACAAATATAGAAATCTCAGCGGTGGATACCAGTTTAAAAAGCAGGTCATGTACAAAGGATCAGGAATCAAACTATCATGAGAGGTGGTGTAATCTAGTGGTTTTGAGAAGGAATTCACAAAGTAGACTACTTAGGTTTAAACGCAGACCTTCCCACTGACTCGCTATAGAATTTGGGGTAAGAGAGTTGGGTAGGCTTTCCGTGTCTCAATTTCTTCTTATTTATTTATTTAGAGAGAGCGTGAGTGGGGAGGGGAGGGGCAGAGGAAGAGGCTCAAGAGACTCTTAGGCAGGGCTCCATGTCCAGATGAAGCCCAACATAGGGTTGGATCTTACAACCCTGAGATCATGACCTGAGCCAAAATCAAGAGTCAGAGGCCTGAATGAGTCATCCAAGTGCACTCCTCATATTTAAAATGAGGTTACTAATAATGGTATCAACCTCATTATGCTTTTATACATATTAAATGAACTATTTTATATTGTTTGAGCATCTGTCTTCTGCTCAGGTTGCGATCCCGGGGTCCTGGGATGGAGTCCCACATCGAGGTCCCTGCGGGGAGCCTACTTCTCCCTCTACCTATGTCTCTGCCTCTCTCTGTGTGTGTGTGTGTCTCTCATGAATAAATAAATAAAATTGGGGATCCCTGGGTGACTCAGCATTTTGGCGCCTGCCTTTGGCCCAGAGCACGATCCTGGAGTCCCAGGATCGAGTCCCACGTCGGGCTCCCGGCATGGAGCCTGCCTCTCCCTCTTCCTGTGTCTCTGCCTCTCTCTCTCTCTATCATAAAATAAATAAATCTTTAAAATAAATAAATGAATGAATAAATAAATAAACAAATAAATAAATAAAATCTTAAAAAGAATAAACATAAAGAAGTGAAGACAATGCCAACTAAACACCGTATAAATCCTTGACACCAACAATGGAAGCTGGAAGACAATGGAACAGTAGTTTCAAAACCCTGAGGCAAAATTACATCCAATCTAGAATTTTATACCAAGGTACAAAGTAGAAACTACCTAATTGCCCTTCAGTAGGAGAATGATCAATATTTTGTCACTTACTCATTCAGCAATTAAAATGAATGAACAAGGCTACATGCCATAAATCTCAAAAACTACATTAAAAGAACCATTAGCACTTTATGAATCCAACTATATGACATTCTGGAAAAAGAAAAACTATGGAGACATAAAAAAAGATCATTGATTGCCAGGAGATGGGGGATGGGAAGGAAGGCAGAGCACAAGGGATTTTTAGGGCAAGGAAATTGCTTTGTATGATACTAGTATGGTGGATCTGTGTCACATATTTGTCCAAAGCCATAGAATGCACAAAACCAGGAGGAAGCCCTAATGTAAACTGGGGACTCTGGGTGATAATGAAGTGTCAATGGAGGTTCCTCGATTGTAGTAAATGTGTCACCCTGTTGGGGGATATTGATAGGTTCTTCATATTTTGGGGGAGGCTTGTGTATGGGAATTCTGTACTTTTTGCTCAATTTTGCTGTGAACCTAAAACTGCTCTAAAAAATAAAACTTGACAGGGGCACCTGGGTGGCTCAGTTGTTAAGCCTTTGACTCAGGTCATGATGCCAGGGTCCTGGGATCAAGCCCTGCACCGGTGTTCTCTGTTCAGTGGGGAGCCTGCTTCTCCCCCTCCGTCTGTCTGTAGCTCACCCTGTTTGTGCTCTCTCTCTCCCTCTCTGTCAAATAAATAAATAAAATCTTTTTTAAAAAGTTTTTTAAGTATAAAATCTTTTTTAAAAAAGGACCACTAGCATTTATTCTCCTGATGCAAAGATAGTTCAACATGAGAAAATCTAATTTTATTTTCCTATTACTTGATTATTGCAGGAAAGCCACAATCATCCTAGAAAAAGAAAAAGAGTCATTTAATCAAATTTAGCAATACTTCCTGGATTTAAAAAATCTTTAGTAAAATGGGATTTGACAGCAGTTTCTCAAAAAAAAAGTGATAGAAATATAATAAACATCTCAAACCAAAAGGCTTCTCATGCTTAATTGGTTAATTAAAAAAATTTCTTGCTTTTAGGAATGAGACCAATTCCCAATAAATATTTATTACATGAAGAATATCCATGGTCCTGAGCAGGTTCTTGGCATGGCATTTGACTGCCCAACAAACTAAAAATAAGTTTCAAGACCTTTTTCTTTCTTTCTTTTTTTGGTTTTTTTTTTTTTTGACAGAGAAGAACAAGAAGAAACAGAGAGAGAAGGATAAGCAGATGCTGTGCTGAATGCAGAGCCCAATGTGGGGCTCAATTCCAGGACTCGAGATCACGACCTGAGCTGAAACTGAGAATTGAATGCTTAGCCCACTGAGCCACCGAGCCACCCCACTTTAAACCCAAATGGAACCATGCAAAAAATACTCACCACTTTCATCCATAGCTTAAGTACCAGCACAATTGCAAGTTGCCAGTGGTCCTATATCTATATCTAATACTCAACATTAGAATTAATTGTACAGCTGTCTCTAAAACTGAAGAAGAGAAAATTATAAAATAAGTCTGATTTTATAGTCGGTAGCAATTTTTAAAAGATTTTATTTATTTATCCATGAAAGTCACACAGAGAGAGGCAGAGACATAGGCAGAGGGAAAAGCAGGCTCCCTGCAAGGAGCCTGATGTGGGACTCGATCCCAGGACTCCGGGATCATGCCCTGAGCCAAAGGCAGATGCTCAACCAAACCACTGAGTCACCCAGGCGCCCCCAATAGTTGGGAACAATTAACCCAAATAATATTCCTCACCACCCCTATGTGGGACAAATTTGATCTGCACCTAAAAGCACACAGATTTCAGACCTAGTAGAAAGTTTTCTAGCTCTATTAGCACAAGTAATTCAACTTTTGTTGTCATTGACAATTCAGAATTCCAAAGGCATCTTTCTTCCAGCCATGTCTCTAGAACAGGAGCACATGACTCAGAAGTGAAGACAAATATTTTAGAAATGTTTTGGAATCAGGAATAAACTTTAGATCATTTTCTTTTTGCCTCATCTCTAGCTCTTTTCTCCTACACTATGAGGAAGGGAATATACAACACACGTGGGAAACATGAGGCCAAATTATTTTGTCACAGTGTTTTACACTTGCAGTTCTGTTCCATTTTCCAGAAAAACTCTTGCTCCAGATATGTCCAAGGCATATTCCCTCTTCTTTCAGTCTGATCAAATATTACCTTAATAAAATAAGAACTGCCCCTCAACTCTGGGTGCTCAGCATTTCTTACCTCCTTACCTTGCTGTACGTTTTCCATAGCACTTATCAGTACCAAATACATTATATATTTATTTCTACAGTCTCTCCCAGTTACAAAAGAAGCTTTGTGAAGGCACAGGCTTTGTCTATTTTCCTCTATTCTTGCATTCCTAGTGCCTAGAACACCTAGAAGTTACAAAATAAATATTTGCTAAGTAAATAAATGCATCTATATTCTACAATGTGTGAGACACACAATCACTATTTTTCTGTAGCTAACCTAAATACTGGTTTTCCTCTGAAAATTTGAATGGCCTTTAGAATGTTGGGCACACTAACAGTAATAATGAGCAAATATATGACGTGTTAGTCACTAAACAATACGGAAGAAAATATAATGAAAGACCAGGAATTAGTAGCAGACTAAAAAAATTCTAGCAAGTTGTTTCCCTATGAAAATATTTTTCCCACTAAAAATGTCAACTGGATGGGACACCTAAGTGGTTCAGTGGTTGAGTATTTGCCTTTGGCTCAGGGCATGATTCCGGGGTCCTGGGATCGAGTCCCATGTCGGGCTCCCTGCAGGGAGCCTGCTTCTCCCTCTTCCTGTGTCTCTGCCTCTCTCTCTCTCTCTCTCTCTCTCTCTCTCTCTCTCTCTCTCTGTGTGTGTGTGTGTCTCATGAATAAATAAAAATCTTTTTTAAAATGTCAACTAGAAATACTTCTTTGGAAGAGATGACATGTGTAAATACAGAACTAAGATTTGAATAGATTTTCCTATTCTGATACTTGGAGCATTTTGTTGAAAAAAAAAAAAGAGCAGGAGGTTTTCATTCAAACAAATCTAGTGTGTATCCTGGCTCTGCCACTCACTGGGTGTGACTATAAGCATGCTATTTAACTTCTCTGAGTCTCTTCATCTGCAAAGCAGGGGTAAAATGAACCTAATCAGGACTCTATTCCTCCCCTGGGTTCTCTAAGGAGAAAATTTCAGTAGTCAGCAAGTTGCCCAGGCCAGAAAATGAGTGCTATCCTTCATACCTTCTCTTCTTCATCACTATCCCTCACCTACCTGATTAATAAAATATTTCAGTTCTGCATCATTAAGGCATCTTGAACCCATTCACTGGTCTCCATCCACACTACCACCTGCCACTTCCATGGCCCAGGTCATCATCACCTCTTTATGTGAATTGTTGGAACAGCCTCTTGGCTGATTTGATAGCAAGCAGTTTCCCTCTACTATGACCATGTCCCCTCCATTCCCCCGACAACAGAGGGAATGATCACTCTGGAACACAAACAAACATGGGAATAAGAAGCAGACATTTGCCTCTTTTGCTGGCAGTTTAATAATCTAAGCGTTCTTTCCACTTTTGTCCATGTTGTGGGAGAAGTCCACATTCTATGAATTTGGGTAAGAACAAAGCCACCTTCCCACTCTCACAGTCTATAGGAGTCAGACATTCTCTGGCAGCTAAGTTACAGGCCTGTGATCAGGTATGGCCAATCACACACACTCACCTCCAAAACTCTATTGAGGAAGTGACACCAAACTGCAGAGACAGCTAGGAAACCACCCACCTTGGTGGCAGTGGAATCCACGAGGACTGTGGCTCTGCAGTGGTGTTCATCCATGGAGCAGTGGAGGTTACAAAGCCCTGGGCAACCCTCAAGTGTCCC